GAAGAAAAGAGCAGATTTCTTTATTTACTAAATTCTTAATTACAAATAATAATGCCTCAAACGTAATGGAATTTGTTAATTACTTACAAATTATCATAAAATACCGATATTCAATTAACGCGAGGACCTAATTGTGAATCTAGAAAATATGGTAACCTTGAAATGCTTCGTGGTTCCATTTTGCAAGACTGAAGCTGATTTGATTGCTGAGTAAATAAATAGTGATCAGTGTGAAAGATGCTTCAAAATTTGACCCAGAACGCAAGATTAAAAATTCAAATTAAATAAGGTAGGAAGGTCGACCAAACTATTCGTAAGGCCGGACTGATCAAGGAACATCCTCAACCTCAAGGCAAAAACTTCCGTCAAGTAACAAGCACTTCCCACTCCAATCTTAGAAATTAATACCATTTTGATTAATGGACACTAAGAATGTATGGGTATTGTTTATGTTCGGAATTATCAATATAAAAAACGGGACGAACTGGTTTCTATAGAGCATTCTTCATCAAAAACCCTTCTAAGACCTTTAGCGTGAGAGGTATTTATGATATATTCCTTTCGAAGTTCATTGCTTTATCAACCTTATATCATAGATTATGTTGGCACCAGGAAAAAAGTGCTTTTTTTTTTAATTGTAAGTTCGTATAAACAACTGAAGTATGTTACTTTTGGTTCTATCTGAGTTCCATTTATGCTTGTTAGGTTTACTATAAAAAAAAGTTAATGGTATAGATTTTTGGCATTTTTATAGATGTATATGTAGCAGGCTAATGGAAAATCAGAATCCTTGTAAAAACAGCTGCCTGCACTTTGCTATGGAGACAGGTTGATTGGAAAAGTTTCCAGTCTTTTCTTATCAAACTTCTTATCAAACTAGCCCATATTGGACTTGCTGCGGTGAGCCAATAGCACCGTTAATATATCATCATTAGCCTGATTTATTTTAAACAGTAAGAAATAAGTCCAGAGTAGTAAAGGTTTATTGTAAGTAGCCTTATTAAAAATGCATTGTCATAAGTCTAAACAAATTTAATCTGCTTGAGAAATTTTTTTCTCATTTCCAAATTGACCTAATGGTACATACTTTCCTAATTATCCTGGCGCATTGCGAAATGTCAGCGACATGTGCAAGCGCAGAATGCCAGAATTTTTATTTTGATGACTGATGCATTTATTTTAATAACTTAGCATTAGTTAAGTGCTTACTTTCAGACATATTAAAAATTAAATGCAGAACTTACATGCTATCATATAGCTAAGGCAATATATTTGTATATTTCTTTTCGTTAAATTGAGCTGAAATTAAAAAAAAGGCTTTTTTTCTGGTAGTTTTTTTCTGATTGACAGGTGACAGTTTTCTTATCATACAAATCTGGAAATTTCTGCTAAACACTTCTTTAGTTATAGAAGAACTGCATTGAAGTGTCGAATATAATCCAAATCAACAAAGAACTGTTTTATAAAGAGCAAAACTATTTTTTTAACCTTTAAAGAGTGAAAAGGATCAGTCTAGATGTCAGGATAAACGAGATACTTCGAGCTAAACTTCTAGTAAAAATATAATAGATTTTATTTTGATGGTTTTAATCTCTATCATTTCATGAAAATATGATCAACACATTATATAGAAATGCTAAGAACTTATAGCATTACTTAAAAGACTAAACTTAATAAAGGGGATCATCACCATTTTGAATTGGTAAAACTGATATTTTGTAATTTCATTACTTCTGGAGAAATTCTGTTTGAAGAAGAACAAAGTCTTTTTTTCCTACCATCAAACTTTCAGAAGATTTAAAGCTGTAAAATTGATTCATCAAACTTTTGCCAGAAAGATTTAAAGCTGTAAAATTGTAATTTTTTATTTTCATTAATGAGTGTTCAAATATGGAAAGGACCTAGATTGTAGAATGTAGAACAACTTTAAATGGGAAAAGGGGCACACTTATGCATATTAAAAGTGTACACAAGAGATTAGAGGGTCTGGGTTGAATGATGACGAGAAATGAGAAGTTATAGAACTCATGTTCATGAGAAAACAAAGCAAAATCGGGCCCAAACAAAACAAAACAAAATCGGATTGGTTAAATCACTTGATCCAAAAATAGACTCCGTTTAACCATAAATAAGTCTGCTTCGGCAAGACACGTGACTATTTGTTGGTTTGTTTCTGTTTAACAATTCTTTATCAACACTATTTTATATACACTATACGTAGTATTTTAAAGTAGTATTTCGCGGCAAAACAACAAATTTAATTCTTTATTTTACTTTTGTATATCTAACTCCCTCAGGAGAGTTCATGCCTAATGTGTACTGTAATACTGTGAACAAAGACAGACTGCCACAAATAACTTTTATTGAAATAGGTAAATTTTAATTATTCTTAAACTCTGTGGTAACTTATGGTGGGAAAAAGAATATCATTAATTAAAATACAATGAGAGATACGACTATATTTAATCGTAAAATATTTCCTGCCTTCATCCGTACTGTAAAAAATTCCACATCAAATTACGGTAAAAAGTACTGGCACTTTGGGAGTATCATCCATAAAGTCCATGTAACCGTAAAATGCATTTTTAACTTAAAATATCAAACCGTAATTTTAACAGGAATATTTATTTAAATAAAGTGTCTCAGTGATTTTCCGTAAATTATTGTTGTAAAATTTAAAGTATATCAGATTTTTTGTTCCGTAACATGTTCCAGTAAAAATGTATTTTACGGTAAAAAGTTCCGGTGAAAATAATTTGACAGTGCATTTTATACACATTATTTTTAAAACAAAATTAAATAACTTTCTGATTGTTGAGGTTGTTATTTTACCTCAGCAGAAAACGAAATGGCTTCAGAAGCTTGTAATTAAAGAGAATTACAAAGATAGATTCATTTATTTTATCCATTATCTTGCAAATGAATGGTTCATCCAGGAATGCAGGTCGGACGAAGAAATCATAACCAGTCCATCCTCTGTCTCCTTTTTCTGAGGGGGGGGGGGGAATAGAGGGAGGGAATTCTCGACACTAACGACAACCTCTTCAATCTTCAATCATAATTTCGTTCGGAAGAATGTAATGGAACAACCTAATTAAAGAATTTTTTTTGCTCCAGGAATTTAAGTATCTTTAATTCTTTTAATTCGAAGAATGATTGAAATAAGTACATGATAATTCTTATTGTATTTTCGATTAAATAAAAAAAATTACGCATTACATTAAGAAAAATATTCATTCGAAGTATAAGAAATAATTTTATTTTAAATATGTTTTTCTTTTATCATAAGTTTTGTTTGAAAATATTATTTTAACATGCACTATATACCACGAACTATAATACAGATTTACAAACTATATATCTATTTACATTTGACCTGTAAAATTAAATTTAAAATTTTGCACGAACTATTATTAAACTACGGATTATAAAAGAAACCTTTTATAATCCGGAGTGCCTGAACCCAAAATATACTTTAATCCAAAATTCTTCACATTCTATTAAAAAGTTTTCGATATTTCTTAGTAAAAAAAAAAATCTCTTTTTTGTGCAAACATTATCAATATTACGTCAAAATAGAATAAAGCACTTTAATCAGCATTAAAAGATTACAAAAATGCTCAGTTTATAGAATTATTCACTCAAAAGCTGCGTTCTGATTAGTAATTGTGTACTGCAATAATATTTTTGAGTAAAATTAATCTTATTAAGACTGTAGTGACTATAAAAGTTACGTTAAATTTAAAATTTTTAACATGAATCTTACAGAAAATGTAAGCATATACATCCACTATTTCACAAACAGAAGGAAAAGACGTACAAAAGCTTTCCTTAAATAAGATAAAATTAAAATAAATTTTCTTAAAATATTGTTCTGTAATTTGAACAACGGGAAAATTTACATTTAAAACCTTTTTCGGAGAATTAGGATGGACTAGCATACGGAAACAATTTTTTTTTTTCAATATCATATTGAGACTTTCATACCTTCGGAACCATTTAGAAAGATCATCCATGTGAATGTAATTGTTGCGGCCATTTTTGCCTTTATTGTTACTCCCACATTTAATTTTAAAAGATTAGTCAAAAATACTACTTACAAGCCTTTCTAGAGACTCTCTGTCATTTTTTGCTTATTTCTATACAATAATATCAAGAACGATGATTAGATTTGTGCTATAACTTCTCTGAAAGTGATTAGTTCTAAAGTTAAAGTTTTTTTTGTTGCACTTAAATAAAATTATTGAATAAAGATATAAAAGTTTGAACTAATGAATTTCGAAATTTTTTTCATACTATGTACTTTTGTAAAAACATACAATTTTCTTACCTGTTTCAAATCTTTTATGTTAGACTTTAATTTTATTATACGTGAAAAGTGTTTCTGCCATATTTTTATTTAGTTCTGCTTATTTATTTCTCTCGTATATTAAATTCTACTATAAACAGAGAAAATAAAAAAAAATCTGCATTACTAACACTTTTCGGAATATTTTCTTGAGGTTAACTGAAGTAATGGTGCCAGTCATCTATACAAATATACATTTTTATTAATCATTGACTTAAATTTAAGAACGAAGTAAAAAAATGGTGAGAAATTAGAATAGTCAGAATCAATCGGACTTTATTTTGCAAAATGTAGGTACTTTAGTCTTCATTATTACATGACAGAAGTCATTAACTTGAAGAATTGAAAATCTAAGCATTATAGGACAAAAATAAAACAAATAACCAAGCAATTAAAACTAACTTCATAAATTCAATTAAAAATAATAAAGTGAAACGATATCAATCAATCTAAACAGAGTTCAATCAATCTAAACAAAGTTTTTTGCTTTAGTGTGGTGCTAAGACCGTTTGAGACAGTGGTTGTCATTTTGCCACGCCTTTAAAAAAAAAAAAAAAAAAAAAAACTTTTCATTTTTTGTTTTTTTTTTCTTTATTATGATTTAACAATAGAGTGGAAACTCTATATATTTGCATGAGGTATAACCGTAGAATGTCAACTATATATTTCTACTGCTTCAACTAACAGCTTCCTTTAGGTTTTGCTAGAATACAGGGGGCTGTTGTGCCAGGAGAAACTTTTAGAAAAGCATCCTAAATAGTCAGAGTGGATCGTCCTTAAGTATTTAGTTCATAATTCGTAAAAACTACCAACAAGCAGGAAATAAGTAAATTTACAGATAAAATTATAACCATTATAAATTTATTAATTTTATGTTGATGGCAACCGAAGATTTCTGTATCTTCTTTGTTAGTTAAGGTACCCATGCTGCGAATACTATTGATCAAATGATAACCTATATTATTAGTTCCATTGAGCAATGCTAGAGTTACAATTTTTAGTCTTCATTTTTTTCCAACCTCTGATTTTTATTTTTTTATTTACGCTTTTCATCCCAGCAGTCACACGCCCCGGAGCATTTTGTTCAAGCAACATTACTGTAAACCAAAAATTTGAACATGAATGCATAGAAGAAAGAAAAAAAAACGAAGAAAAGAAAAGTAATGTTTAAAGTGAGTATTGGGGAAAACGAAAATTTGCTAAATTCAAGGTCAAAGGTGCAGAAACCCGCATGTTTGAATGACTTCTAATTCCTACCTTTGCTTCAGATAATGATCCATTCTGATTTCTCGCATCGGCAACTCATCATTCACAAACCACAACGCTCTCTCTCTGCCATTGCTTATGTTACTCGAAATCGTCTTATTTGGCGAAATTAAAAATGCAAACATTATTTTTTTTTAGCAAACAAGAAATTTACAAACAATTATTTTATTTTTATTTTTTTAAATTTTACTTTGGCTATTCAGTTAAATTGAATTTTTTTTTTTCTAGCCATCATATTAATTTGATAAATGTTTGTTCAAATATATTTTTTAATGACATTTTTGCTTCCTGGTATGAATTTTCATGTGCTATGAGAAAAAGATGTTTTACTAAATTTTATCGATTTTCGCACTCATATCTGTTATTATTAATTACACCAGGAATTCTACTATTTGTTCCAGATTTTATAAAAATGTTCTATAAATAGAAACGTTTAAATTATTGGTTTAAACACGAATGAAGTTTTAAAAAAACTCTAAGTTTTAAATACATTTTTTCCAAAACTGTTGAAAATAATAGTATGAAATTCTCTCAAGTTGCATATTATGAATTCATATACGTATGGTTCAATATTTCAAATATTTGTTTCAATAAGTTCTGAAAACTATTCTGATGATAACAATTTTAAGGTTATTATTATATACATTTGCAGACACGATACAAAAATAATACATTTATCCTTGATTGCTATTAAAAACGCTGCAATTTATATTTTGTTTAAATAACTAAAAGAATCATATAACACATCGTAAAAACACATTTAGGGCTTTTTGTCCTTGAAAAGAAATGTTAGTTCAACAATCATATCGATGAAACATCATTCAGTCAAGAAATTTATGGACTTAATTTTTTTTAAAAACACCTAACAGTAATTTATTAATTATTACATTTTCAAGTTTACTATAAAGTTTCAAAACTGAAAATGCGTGGATTATTTTATGCATTTTCAGTTATGAATGTAATGTTTATAAATTCTCATTTAAAATCAGCTAAAGTTTATTTAAAATACTGTTTTTGTTTTGACTTATTTTAATTATTATTATTGTGTTATAAGTCATATCACGCATCACTATACTTTTTTAAGTAACTAACTATTGAGAGTTCTAAGATCATTTTTTTTTTATGGTTTCGGAAAAAAATTGTATTTAACGATTTTTTTAGTTTATTTTATTATTAGGGGATATACTGATATTACTGAATATAAAATTTATAAGTAATGGTTTATATTATCAATAGCTAATGAAACGAAAAGTGTACTTAAATCATTCTAATGAAATTAGGATTAGTGTATTATATAACAAAATAAAAACAAAATTTTTTGATTCCAAAATCCAAGGTCTTACCCTTCTTATTTGTGCCTGACGAAAATTTTAGAAGCATATTTTTTCATGTAATCTTTTGCTTGCATTGCTATGTTAATAATAAAATGGTAAAAATAAAACTAGAACTGGGGAATCAGTAATTTGAATGTGCTATACCGAACTTTTCTGAGAGCTAGACATCCATCCAACATCGACTTATATTCGATAAAAAAGTTTTACCAACTCCTCGATAAAAAATTATTATTAAGCATATTTTAATAATAAATTATGTATTTCTATTTTTTATGAATAATGAGAGTGTATGTTATTTCTATTAAAATCACATTTTGTATTACGACAAATTATTTGAAAAATTCATTTTAAAGAATACATTTTCGCAAAACGTTTATATTATGTTAGTAAAACATTAATATTTCAAACACACATTTCCAAATATGTATTCCTCTCATCACGAGAAGATTCTTTACTGACTGTTCATGAACTAGGAGCTTAACTGATATATTAAATTCATTTGCATAACCTTTCATTAAACATTTCAACTTAATCAAAAAATGTGTGTATGAAATTCAGTAGCATTCCTCAAAACCATTCAATAGCATAGTAAGTGTGTGATAAGTTATAATTCAAATAGTTATTTTAATATTCATTTCAGCAGAACTTTTCTATAGATTATAAATATTTTTGTATAATATAAATAGTTATAAATATTTTTTTAAATAATTTTTTCTATATCAAAAATGTATTTTCTCCTTTTTGATATGTACCTAATTTTTAACATACTGAAATCGGGTAGATTTTTCTACCACCGATTCCTGTAAAATTTTCGCTCTCTTCAAATCTTTTAACTTACTGAAATCGGGTAGGTTTTTCTACCACCGATTCCTGCACAATTTTCCTTCTCTTCAATTTTCTTAACTCACCGAATTCGAGTACATTTTTCTACAACCGATTCCTGCAAAATTTTCCTTCTCTCCAAATATCTGCTCCAAAACTGAAAAAAAAAACTACATCTTTTTTATTAGTCCCTGCGAAAAAAAAATATTTTTTTTTTATCCCCACCAAATGTAAAAGGTGAAAACAGTATAATTCACTCTCAATGTTAATTACCGAATTGTCCATTAGAGACATTATCACAGATACAGAAACAAAAATATTGTTTATTAGCAATAAATTATACGTAACAGATCCGGTGTAAGAGGAGGTTCGACTCATAATTATACTGTTACATATTTATGAGCATCGCCGGAAATGTTGTTGTTTCGCGAAAAATCTTGGTTTTTCCTGCCGCGGCTGCAACTGTCATTATATAAACTAGGCACACTATTATTGCCAAGCCCTGAAGTGAAATTGTTGGTTGGCTAAATGAAAATTCGAAGGTCGGAAATATCGTTAGAATGCATGTATTTAGGTCACTTTTTGATTGTATCAAATTTCATTAAGAATAATTATATTGTAATAGGTATGTATTGATATAAATTTTTATTACACGATTAAAAAATCAATGCCACAAAAAATTTTCTAAAATGTGCGTGATATAAACAAACCACATGCGGCCATCATCGAGGTCATTTTGTTTGGCGCCTCCAAATGATTAAAACTTGCAAATAAATATTTAATTTAATATATATTGCGCAATTAAACAATTAATAAAATAAATATTTGCTTTAATATCATTTAATTATACATATTTGTTTTTGATTAATCTTAAATATCAATTTGAACAATGGTACTTTTATAAAAAACTGACATTAGATTGAGAAAAACTTGTGCGTTTTTAATTGTTTCCGACAATTATAAATTACCCTGAATTTTTATCAACTATCAGATGCAAGATAATTTTGAGCAGTTAGGACTGTTTTCTAGGAATATCATCATTCTTGCTTCGTGTATGATAATTAAGTAAAAAAAAATTTAATGCACTGATCATATTCAAATTACAAACTTTTTTTTCGTAATAATTACTTTGTTTCCGTTAAAATAATCAAAAATAATCTCGCATATTTCTTACTTTAACTCTTATATTAATTGTTTTAACTTACGTAAAGCTAAGTTACTTTTAAAGTAAATTTGAGTTACAAAGTTATATCTTTCTCAAGTTGCACCTAAAGTATCACTAGTCAAAATCTCTCGATTTAAAATACTTTCAAAAATACTTGTTTTTTGCCTAGGTACAAAATAAAAAAATTTCAAAAATATATTAGTAATTGCTTATAAAGCTACATTTTAATATAATTTCAAGAATTCTGTCAATTTTTTGTTGTGCTATGTAGGAAAAATATATAAAAATTCAGTATTTTTCGGTTAGCGTGGCACAAGTAAATTGAAAAAAAAATTTTATTTTGTATATTTTTATTCATTTTATTTTATTTTGGAATCTCAATTTCGTCTTGTGTTAAATAAATAATAAACTTATACATGAATTAGTTGAATCGACTTCTGTCCAGCTAACCGAAATGTACTAATAATTCTTGGCGATTTACTTGGCGACCTTTTCATTGCAGGCAACCCTACCAATGACTACTTTCTCAAATTGGTTCTCGTCAAATTGTTTCTACATCTCGTTTTCTCAGTCCATTTCTACTCCCTTTCTTTTTATCTTTTATTTTCTACTTTTCCTTACTATATCATTTAGAAGAAAATTATTGCTCTAGTGAGTTTTTGTTTTATTTTTTTCTTAGCATTTTTATTTCTTTTGCCTCAGTCCCTGCCAAACAGGTGAACATATATATATTTTTTAAAAAAATATTAGACCAATTTACTATGGTTTAAAATGGCATTAGTGATACCAATTGATTATTTACAATTGTTTCGAGACAGAAATATTTCCTTCGATATTTACAAAAAATGAATTTAATATCCAAAAATAATATGCATAAAAATAGTCAATAAGGCGAATTAAATTGTGAAAGTCACTTTTTTTGCAAAACACTTATGCATAAATGAGAATAATTGTAAACATAAATTATAGTGCGAAATTTACCTTCTAGATTTCTGTTCAATAAAAAATAATTAAAAGCACTCTAAAGTGGGAATTAATTTGTTAAAATCGCTTTTATAGGAGTCAGTTTTGTTTATTAGATAAGTTATAATATCCTTAGTATAAAATTGGTTTTTAAAAAAATCCTATTTCATAATATAGTACTTAGAATATGTTTAAATGAAAAATTAAACTTTCATTTCTGGAATTCCTTGCAAATAATTAAAAATAATCTTTAATTAAATTTTAAGTCAAGAGGTAATATTGTTAATTGCGATTTAATAATGAAAGTTGAAAGCAGCTATATTTATATTCTAGCTAAATGCTCCATTTTCATTCGGAGGTTTAAAAAAAGTGTAAAAAATCAATAAATCTGTGTGAATTACAGCTACGCAATCATGCACAAATTTTGCCAAAGAAAATAAATAAGTCACTGTTTATGTACCTTACATTTAATGCAAATATATAATTTTAAACAATAATATCTTGCTATAAGAATTATTAGGGCTCTAGAGCTACACTAGAGGAGGGAAGGCCTCTGCAAGGATCAATTTAGTAGTGTGACGTAATTAACTTAATTTATGCATTGGAAGATTAATAAGACACA